TATCAAATATAGAATGAGTTTGGTTTACCGCCTTATACACATATCTTTGTTTGTTGAGTTTTATGTTTGAGTGGATGATAAATTTGACCGAACCACTTATTTAATGTACACACCATAAACATTTTGTATTTTAAACGTGTTTTTCCGATTATCTATTATTCTTTTTTGATTACTTTAGTGAAGCTCAACGTTTACCAGATTGTTTGCGCCGATCTAAACCTGTACGCTTTGCATTTGCTACACATGAAGCGCTTATTACAAACAACTATATTCGATTTTTTCGATTAGCCGTCAAGCTACTTGTTTAGTTGCTTGTCTTATGCATAGATATTTTGTTCAGATACGTGGTCAAGCTTTAATGAGATTATCATGTGCATTCGCTGGACATCCAAAACGTGAAGTTCATGTAAGTGATATCCATTTATTTTCTAACTTTATTCAACTTTTCTATCTTAAATCTGATCTTGGTTATATAATTAATCACCTTACTTTCTTAAGAAATTTATTTTGTCACACAAATTTATTATGGTGTTGTACAGAATTGACTCAGTACCAGATAATTAACTGGTAAATAATTTACCGAAACATTTAATTATTGGTTTGTAAAGTTGGGAATTGATAGTATAGATATTCATCTGTGAACCTCAGTTTCAAATTGCTCTCCATATTCTTCAGTTTTTAAGCTTGAATGGGGGTTGTTTTCACCTTCTCACAGTAAGTATGACTCATAACCTACTGGACAAAATATACATATGGTGGTTTGTGTTTTTGTAATATACAATATTAACTTCTAGGTCCTTTATAGAAGCTCATCATTTTCTGAAAACATTTACAACCAAGCACCGCATGCCAAATATTCATGAAGTGTCACGTGATCATATTTGTGAGTATCCCATTTGCCTCTAGGACCAAGTCCATAGGAATCGCCGTCTAGAAAGACGTATAAAATGTTGAGTCCTTCGAAAACACGTGTGGCGCTGCACTTTTTACACATTTTGACTTGTCAGTAAACCCTTTGCCAATTTTCCGCCTCTTCTAGTTTTCGAGGAACCGAGAGACTCATATAGGTGATGTCTAAATACTACTTTTTAGAAGCTCACACATATAGTAACTATTCACTTTATACCTGGTCTCTGGGTCCATAGTCTGACTTCGAACTAGAGCTAGAGAACAGTGAACTCCAGAAAGCCAGAAACATGTCACGCCTGGACGAGAGTCCATCGAGTGAACCTTCACCCCTTGTTAGGTTATGAAAAACAAACACACCAGTGCTCAACACTTTCCATATTTGTTGACCTGAAGACGACATTTAACACTGTCGACCGTCAGGTGTTGTGGCAGTTTCTGACTGTGAAAGGAGAACCTAACAGGTATATAACGTTAATAAAAGCTCTCTACTTGAATTCATGCAACTGTTTAACAACTCGTCCGAATTGATGACAACTAGTGGTGTCAATTAGAGGTGTCTACTGTCACCATCCCTCCTCAGCTTCTTTATAGATGTAATAATGAACACAAGCTTAGGTAGGTCTGACTTCATACAGGTTGACCTACTACTTGGGAGATATCTGATTGGCCTGGAATACACAGAGGATATTAGCGTGTTAGGCGAAGATGCTAACAAAATGCGGCGTGTTCCAGACATCCTGAGTAGAAATCTGCGTATGCTTGGCTGCCATGCGTTTCACACCTGTCAAATGTATGATGATAGTTCCGGACGGTTATGCAACTACTTTCAGTGTAAGGATAGGCAGTGAGGTGGTAGACTGTGTCGACAACTCCACTTACTTGAGTAATTGCAGCAGGTTGTACTGATTGGTGTCTGATTAAATCTCAACTCGGTTTCGAAAGGCTGTTATGATACGTGACGCCTTGCGTCATGTGTGGCACCGACGAGATATCTGACTACCTATTAAAGGATAAGTGTATTGTACTACCAACCGTTCTGTCCTGTTATGCGTGTGTAAGACGGTGTCATTGAAAGTATAAGTTATGAAGCAACGTCTGGTCTTTTCGTTGCATTTACTCAGACAGACAGACAGTGAGGTAGGCGGGCAGACAAAATCCACATAGAAACTCGTGCACAAGTTCATCTGTAGACGTCGCCAATATTTACAGTATCCTCCAAACAGCAAGTGGTTGGAAATAGACTAATATCAGAGCGGACAGAGGTGTATGAGAGGAGATCGAATTTGAATATCAAGGTTGGTGAAAAAATTCAAGCTTTGAAAGGCGTGAAAGTGAATACATCTACGACATTGTGAACGACTTGGAGACATGTCGACAGTCGTCTCTAACCATCGATGCCTGCTGTCTGGAGAACTACGGCCTGGCAGACTAGGCCTTCCTACATAACTGAGGCGAACAGTCAGAGACTTCATGGACTACTGCCACGTCTTTGTTTAACCACCTTTGAGCTTTCTTCCAAACCAGTCCAATTTAGGTTTACATTATGCACGTTGAGGTGAGTATTGGCTTGGGGTGTGCAACACGCGTCCAGAAAAACAACTTAGCTGTTAAAGGTTCACCACTTTCCCACTGGAAGGGATTAAAATTTCGTTGGCTGCAGGGATGCCAGTGTTTATGAAATCACAGTAATCCACATCGACGTAGTTTTAGCCAATGGATCTGTAATTGGTTCTTAGGCTTACAATTACCACCACATGATTGATGAGTGACATTTATTTTGCATCAGCAAAGTTGTTTTTATCGGTCATAATTTTTCTCCTTTTTTCCCTCCACATCTTTCACAGTATCCCATTTCTACTCTTACTAAACAACTTGGCTTTGAAAATGAAGAGGAATCAAGAGATTTCTGTGGAAGATGGGGCTTCACAGCATAAGGATCGAGTGTTATATTTGAGAAACAAGTACAACCTCAACCGCCTGAACTACCATGGAGAGAGAAGAGATCGTTTGAAGTAAGCGTTTGTTTGATATTTGCCTAATATTCATAAAGTTAGGTGTGTAAAATGCTTTTTAATGCCAATCAGTTTCTGCCATGTTAAACGATATTGGATAATCGGTTCGCTTTTGAAGCGTGTCGACACCGATATCTAATCGGCTACCTTGTGCTATAGGTAGTTAGCTACATACCTATTGTGTGAGGGTTAGTGATATTTACTACCTGGCTGCTCAAACCTCTCACGGTAGGTGGAGCCGGGTTCGGACCCGTGACGCATTGATTGAAAGTCGGCTGCTTAAACCAAAGAACCACAGTTCAATCTTCAGTTATAAAGCTGAGAGGTAAACTACTGTGCTATTTCTAATCGGTGTACAGTGTTTTACAGTCATGAGATCTTTTGAATTTATTGCAGAGATTCCTGATGATTCAGGTGATACTAAATCGAGATATCAATAATGCTGGCACATTTTGATGCCATCACTTTTGCATTTTGCGCTGAACCTCATTGTTGGTTGTTGATATGAAATATGTGATAAATATGCCAGACACTGAACTAGATTGGTGGAATTGTGACTCATTGACCGAAGGAGATGAGTCTCAACCACGGGTTGGAACCTCCCTCTACCTACCGAGGTTTTAGCAACCAGGTGTATATCATCAACTCATCACACACAATGCTTAGTGCAAAAATCTGCAAGTAGTTACTCACTTAACCATCAATCACTTGATGATACAGCGATGAATTGACTTTCAAAGTATACAGCAGCTGGAAACTTTGGCTGACTCACTAAAACGTCATATGCCTCGCGTTTTGTAAGCGAACGAATACTAAGAAACCTCTGTAGATGTTCCATATCAGAATACATCCCTTTGGATTACGCCTCAAAAACTCAACTTAGCTTAATTGGGGGTAGGGGGGGGTGGGGTGTAAAGTGTACTACGCAAAAGAAATGATATATCATATGATGGTCAAACAAAACAACAGTGGTGATGGAACAGCTATTTTGTCAATCAACAAAGGATATTGTACTCGATGGTTGAAGGTGATCGGGAGAAAGCTGTACTCCACCTAGGTTTCGCACTTGCTGATACTCTTCAGCAAGACGTATTTACAACATCAAGGGAACTGATGTCCCCTGAGAGGAGTGGAACCCGCATCACCCAGTGCTGCAGTTAGGAACATTGCCACTGAACTGAGCTATTCGAGTCGAAATTGACCTGCTGTAGGACTGGATTACACAAATCGACTGGTCACTGGAGAGTATCGAATTTCATTGTTTGATACTTGCTGTATAAGGCCGAATTGCTTGATAGAGAGAGGGGATCTTATGCGAGTGCCTCGAGACTGCCGGATATTCATGGTGTTGTATTGATCCTAGTAACTAGCAGAAAATCCACGGTGTGCGTTTCGTTCTATTTCGGACTTGCTAACTGGATGAGTCCGAATCTCAGTAAGTTGTTCCCACTGAGACATCCGTATAGGCGCTCATCTATCGACAGAGATCCAGCAGTTCGGCCCTGTATAGCAACAGGGAATTAAAAGTATCAAACAACAACTGACACCCGTAGCACAAGAGGTGGCTATCGTGCCCCAGCATCCTAGGGCATAACGTTTTTGAATTTCAAGCGATGGCCATTGGGTTCGAGTTTCAGGGGGAGCAACACCATTCACTGAGGTGCAGGTAAATCCAGCTAATGAGTCCTAAATGGTACGAAACACGAGTCCTGAATTCCACTCCTAGCCATGCTGTGTACTCTTAATCTCTCTTTTCCTCTTCTTTTTTGCAGTTTTATCCTACTGTCCGTAATGAAAGGCGAAGAAGACATACAGCGGCATTGCAACTGACTTCAGTTCTCCATAATATATTTAGAAGTATTTCAAGCCATTGACAAAGTCATAAGTAAAGCTATCGTTATATAATAATAGATGATAGTATGATATTTTAGTATGCCTTAGGCTGATGTTATCCGGAACTGTGAGTTGGATTGTGCTGTTTTCAAACTTTTATTAATTCGATGTTTGCTGACTAACGCAAAACAATAATGAATTGAATACATGTTTAATTTAATTCTCTACTTATTGACATTTTCACAGTTGATTGAAAATAAAAGAATTAGCACTCGATTGTCTGAATTGTTCAATGGTTCTCCTGTTAATCCTTCTGATGCGATTCCACCTCCAGTTAAATCCTCATTTGGTACTAATGGTGTATACATTGGTTCGCATGACAAAAATGCAGAAGTCAACAGTAATAATACTGTTACTGGTGGGATATACGACAGTCGCGTTGATGAAAACAACAACAGATACAACAGTGTTAAACATCCCATCATATCCAGTTCAATGTTCACTTCTATTCAACAGACAACAGTAAATCCTTCAACATTGATATCATCGTCAACAACTAGAATCAATATACAGAATGGTAAAAAACCAATGATTACCGACCAATTGCTAGAATGGATTTTTGAAGAATGTGTTGATGAGGTGATCCAGTTTTCAAAACTTGCTCAAACAGTTTTACTCGAATCGATAACCATTGACGAATTAGTTGAAAAGTTGCTAATTGATGTTATCAAGAGCATATTGTTAATGTATGTTTTTTTTCCATGTTGAGTTTTTATTGTTATCACTATGTAGTATTGTGATTAGTAGTAGTATTAGTCATTGGCTTTAATGTAACATTCGCTGAGACTGTTGTTTAGAGCACAGGTATGATGTTAGATGATACTAATTGGTTGGAACCCGACCGATAGCTACCATTTTGACGTGGTGGTCGGGCTTGACCCAGCGATTTATGCTGGTGGGACACTTTATCCCTTCTAGGTCCTACCATACCATAAAGGTCTGTTGGATAGTGGTTAGACAGAAAGCAGTTATCGGTATACTAAAAGTAGCTGCTCTATGACGGGAGTCGGAGGATAAATTGTACTGTTGGCTGGACGGGAGTTTGACAGTAGTAGCGTGTTTGCAACGAATGGTCAGCACTCTGTGTTGATGCTGCCTTTTATATAGAAAGAGAGGAGCTTAAGAAGGGTCACCACTCCAAAATAACACACTTTCACTTGCTCTCCGGATTTCCGGTGCAAACAAATCCATATCTTAGATTTTTATCACATTTGTATGTGACCAACTCCAAATGAATTCCTCTTGGTCTCCGTGATCATACAAAACTAATCTTCCTCCTCTTCTACGCATCTACCATGACTGAAAGTAACCTTGTAAATATGAAAAATGTTTAAATAGTAAATTGAAAAGAAAATATTTACATTCTCAGATATATGAGTTCGCTAATTCGATCTACTATGTCACCAATGGTTTTGTACATACGTGAGTCTAGCCATCTTCTGCCTGCAACGACCATGTCTCACAGCCGTTTAACAGGACTGAACGGACTGCAGTGTAGTATACTGGTTCTTTGGTAGAAAGCCAGATATCTGACCAATGCCACAGGTGACGCAAGTTGGTGAATGTGAAATGGACCTCTATCTGAGCTGAGATTTCGTCAACAACCAGCCCGTTCAGAATGATGCAACTCCGCAAGTAAATGAAGTGATCGACACATTCCACATTCCACTTCACTCCCTGTCATGAAGCTGTAAGTAGTTGCAGACCAGTCGTGGAGAATCGTTTCACATTTGACAGATGCCATTGAGACGCATACTGAACATACTCAAGATGTTCAGAAGTTTTCACCCTGCCGGATAATATCGTCTGCATACTCCTAGTCAACTAGATACCTTCCAGTGAGTAGATCAGTCCCTGTGAATGTTATGTCCATTAGCACGTCTATGATGACGGTAAATAGGAACGGTGCCAGTAGAAATCTTCGGCGGACACCATTAGTTGTCACTTCTGTTGAAAACTCTCCATATGCCCTCAAACGACTGGGTTAGTTCTAGTAAAGAGCTTTGGTCAGTGTTCTAGACTTTCTTGGTACTCCCTTCGCAGTCCGACACCGCTATAACACCTCACGGCTGCCAACAAGTACAAACATAGTCCTTAATAGGCTTTCTGTTCAATGACTTTTGCCATTCAGCAATGGTTGAACTTGAAGTGAAACCCTAACTATGGTAGAATTTTAAAGCAAACATATCTAAGTTAGCAACCCGGTTCTTTGCTAATTGAGTTAGGATGAACAAACTATGCTATCCGCTGCTCATATTGGTGAGATTCCTTGAAGTGAGATGTTCTATCGTTCCTCGTTGGATGACGCCTTGGCGTTTGAAGCAATGGGTGCGAGGTTCGAGTCTCAATGGGAACAACACTCACTGGGGTGCATGTACATCCATCTGACAAGTCTTGAATAGAACGAAACACGCGTCTTGGATTCCTGTGTTAGCCACAGTCAACTAAATTATCAAGTTATCTCTTCAATTTATGTATCATCATGGTTTTTGACTTTTGAGCTATTTCGATTACAGTTTTATTGAATACGACATACATTGCGACTGATGTGTTTACTGAAAGCTAGCTGATGCTTCTCTCTATTTCTGTAATTTGATGTGCATTGAGTTAAAGTCAACTTTTGGAAATTAATCGGATGCGTAGACGACTCGTTTACTCCTCTGTTGTTGGACATTTAAGCTTCGTAGGTTAAAAATCCACCTGGTCACTCGATTGTTGGATTCATTAGTCTTTGACTAAGTCTAGAACATCATGGTTCATTCAACTAAGATCTTGACGGTTAGTTACCACTCTGTCATTATAATAAGCATTACGAACAGCCTTTTTATCTCACTTATAAATCTTTCGTTTGTTTGACAGACATTTAGATAATTTACATTATTTAGTGAATTGTTACACGTGAGAAGAGATGTCCCGTTTACTGTACTTTATCATTTAAAGATATTCCTCACCAAAGGTTAGTCAGAGGAAGGAAACAAAAACATTGAGCAGCAAACTATTCTTTCATTTCAAATTACTATTCTTCAACAAGACACTCTCTTGATTCCTAGGCGGTGCAGAGTGCCATCGGACTCCGTGGTGAACATGATAGTAGAGATTTTAGTGTCTGATGACATTAACTAGCTTCATAATGAACTCATCCTTTTAGTTATTTTCTTTGAGGCTGAATGGAGTTAAATAGGATCCCTTGAAAACAGTTGACTGTAGAGTAACTGCCTAAACAATGGACAACACAGATTGACAACTGACTTAAATGTGCAGAAATTTCTCTTCCTTTAAATGCCACTGTAAACAGTGTATGTGGATGCTGAGAGTACTATTTTTCCAGCTTTACTTTCTGTATTAATAATGGATAATGGCCTAGCAGTGGAATCTAGGACACGCGTTTCTTCCTACTTGGGATTCATCAGCTGGATATATATTAGCTTCTGAGTGAGCGATGTCGTTCCTATTTTACCTTCTGTCGATATTCACTTTTTTTCATGGTAATCTCTTTGCAATGTGTACATTTTTCGTATAGAATGGTTGTAACTCCATCGGCAATTTGACTTATCATTTATGAAGCTGTGACTTTTTAATTCAGACACTCAGATTCCAATCTCAGTAGGTTTCAGATTCAAATTCTGCTTAAAATTTTGAGCTTTCTGTGGTGTGTTGTATCACTAACTCGTAGTCAATAGATAGTCATAACTCGAATAGTCCCTTATCCTCTGAATTGCATATAGATATGCCAGTTAATATTTTTATTAAAATTCATCAGCTTATTGTTACCTTTCTTTTCTTTTCTCTCCGACAGAAGGAATTCATTGCCCAATTAATTGATGAACAGTTGCATCGTTTGGCAACGTCTTCTTTAACCAAATCAATGGCTATGTCATTATATGACTATTCGTTAATTAAGCGTTGTTTTAATCGCTTCCACTATGTTATATGGAAACGTGAAGAGGTTATACAACATCAGATTCTATTGAATACAATGCCAACACCTGTCGGTGCTGATTGTCTACCATTACGTTTGATGACTGTAAACAATCAGATTAAGAGTAATATGGAGCAGTTTAAATTGTCTTGTAACTTATCATCAGGTATAGATAAACATTCCTCACATGTTGAAAACAAATCTCCACTATTGGTTAATTCAATGACATCAAGGTTTCTGCCAGAAATTTCTAAAGTTAGTTCTGTTTCATAGTAAATTCTCATTTCATATCTTTGTAAGTTTTAAACTGAGAGAGTCAATAGATGGAATGATCAGAAAAAAATAATGTTTAACCTTGAATATAGAAGTACATCAGTTGAAGTTGCCACAATTCACAGTATCATGACAAGAACAAGTGGATAAAAAGAGATTGATATGAAAGTAGACAAAAGTAATATGGGAGGAGAGAGAATTTAAAAATTAAGGTTAGTTAAAGCATTCAAGCTTTCGAAGACATCAAAGAATGAGTACATCTACCCGATTGTGACCGATTTCTATCGACTTGAGAATTGTAAGCAGATAGATATTGATTCTAAGCCATATCGCCTACAGTTTCCAACCAGCTATTTCTGTTGTTATGCAAACTTTAACCGGTAAGTTTACCTATCTTTGCAAGACTCAGACCAGTTATCAAAGACTTCATGAACTGATGCCATATTGTAGTCTTACCGCTTTTATCCTTTTTCCTACGAATGTCACGATATTCCTAGAGGTACTTTAGATCTATGGCTACCTTCCTAGTTTTGGGTATGCGAAGCTTTATATCGCTTGCCACACCACTAACAATACCAAGATATACTGAAGAAAAGAGCGGAGGGTGAGTCAGAGAACGATCGTTTATTACTGATAAATTATTATAGCTTTTGGTTGAAATATCGATCTGTACAATATGTTGAAGTCCATCATCTCATTATTCCATATCGTCTTGCTATTGATACGACCATGTCATCTTCTGTGCTTCACGGGGCATAATAATTATCTATGGCTCGTTATTCCCTATGACTTCGTATCTATCAACATGTACTACTTATATACACTCTTATCAGTAGCATCCAATACCGTACTACTTTAAGTAACATTTAAAGAAAACAGTCGATTGTAGATAACACGAAAAACAGTTTTAGTGCTCAGAAGCTTATCAGTCGTTTATCTGAGATACGCTGAATATCACTGAACTATTTGGTAAATATTGTGGATGTAACCAATTCGTTTACGACCCAATCGAAAGCTGGGGAGTCAATTACTCGCATACTTTTATAGTCTGCAAAGGAAAATGAAAGTTGATACTTAGAAAATACTGGTTCCAGTGCGAAAAGTTCTATGATGTGCTTTTCTAAGAGTTATCTTCTTTAACGTGGTAGGTACTGATCGACAATGAAATATAAATCTGTGATCAGTCTTAACATAGGAATAGGAATAAAACATGGCCACTGTGGTCCATTGTAATACCATTCTAGTCTGTTGATTAGAAATGTCACACAGTGAAGGAACAGTATCATTTACTGGATAACAACGTTTCGGACACAATTTATTGTCCATATTGATATCAGGTAACTCTACAACTTTGAGACACAGTTTATATTATTCCTAATTTTCTCTCCTCCGTGATGATATGGCTAGTGAGGTATTTCATATATCTGCGACAGGTACAGAATCATTTCGATTGCTGCGTGTACTTGGTGTTGATTCGACGAACAATGATTCGGTTATCAATCTCTTCCTCCACCCAACTAAGTTAGTTCTTTAACACACTGTTGCTCTATCCCACCCTACTGTGTGATTGTGTGTAATTGCGTACAGAGCTATAGCCGAGCGTTTCTCTAAATTTCTTTTCTTCTTCTTATTTATCCCTTGGGTTCCTAGTGGAACATAGAGCTTCGATAACACGTCACCATTTCACTCTCTTCTCTCCAGTCTTTTCAACCTCGCTCAAAATCTACCCACAAGCTCTCATTTCTTCCTCACACCATCTCCTACATATCAACCTCAGGTGGGACGACCAACTCGTCGTTTCCCATTCTCGTTCCACTCGACGGACTGGCCACGCCTGGTCGTGTGGTGTCCCCAATTGGTCTTCTCACTCTATACCCAATACAATACAATCCAATTCAATCCAGTCTAAACCAATCCAGTCCATCTCCACACTCTTCTGCATAGTTGTTGGGTGATGTGTTCTTGGTTGATTCGTTGGTTGGTCGCCAGCCACACTGAGTTCCTTGTTGCTTATTCTTATTATTCTGGCAATCTATGTGATCTCCATCTTCAGTATCGAGTGAGTGAGTGAGTGAGTGAGCGTAAGTGGCAGCTGTTGATGAATGACGTCTACAGTTTGTTGGAAATGTTTTTAGTGACGCGCCAAGTCTGTCGACCATCACATCGAAGCACTGACTTACTTGACTGACTTGGTGTTGAAAATCCGGATGTTGTTGTTCACGCTTTATGCTGAGTGGAGTGGTGGAGTGGATTGCAGTGGATCTCCACACTGGTTTCAGATTAATGCAGGAAGGCCTGTCTTGCTGCGTTTCACATCCTGTCTGTCTTTCACGTCGTCATCTGTGCCTGTGCTGCCTGCTGTATTTGAAACGATGCTGCCTGCACAGGTAGATGAAGGAGACTACTTCCTTCAGATTTCTCCCGTTGATGGTGATTGGTGCTTGTCGTTGTTGTAGTTGGTTGGTTGATGGTTGGGTAAGTAACTTGATCACCTCTGTCTTTTCCACGTTCACTTGAAGTCAAATCCTCGCTGCCCTGCCCTGTCCTGCCTCTTCTTCACATCTTCCACAACACATTAGACATAAATCATCATCATCGGTGGTGAAATCCAAATCTTCTAGAGTCTTTTCATCCATCCAACCAGCGTATCCCCATCTTCTCACAGCTCCTCACGGTTCGCTGCATCATCCAGTTGATCACAATGAGGAAGATGATCGGTGATAGTAAGCGGCAGCCTCACTCCACTCCTTGCTGTCTTCACGTTAGTTCGAAGGCGTCACTGAGTTTTGCATTGTGAATCACTTGGCATGCACCATCTTCATATAGCACATAGCTGTTGTTGAATAAGGATGATCAAGGTCAATGTTTTTGGCACTAAAATTGTAGTGTTGAAGCAGCTGTCTGCCAGATTACTTCTCAGTCGACGCTATCGAAGGCCTTTCCAAAGTGGATAAAGTTGAGGTGGGGAGAGAGAGAGAGAGTTGCCATTCTATCATTCTACGCTCTGTTCTATGATGATGCGTAGCGCAGTGTTGTAATTTGATCCTCACATGATTCGTACTTCCTGAATCCAGCCTGCTACAGTTGTAATTTTGAATCGAGAGGATGTTTCAGTGTCTCGAGGATGATGTAGGTTAATATTTTGCATAGGGTGGACAAGGGTGGAGCATGATTGCATGCCAGTTCTTGCAAAGACTTAGGTTACCCTTCTTTCGGAGTTTGACAAGGTAGCCCTTCTCCTAATAAATAGGAAGGTACCTTTCCCTACTTATTGCCTTTCTTCCTTCTTGCACGCTTCCAAAAGAGAAGGAGGAATTCTTTAGACAACTGCAATCAATAATGGAAAAGACCCCAACACAAATGCCAACATCAAATTCATTCTAATCGGTGGAGTGACTGACATGAATGACAAACTCGCAGCCGACAACACACGAACACAACTCATCCATCATAGGTCGAGAAGCACTCTTGTGAAATGATGGATGAGAATGGAGAACTCTTTGCAGGCAGACTTCTACGCATTCAACAATTTGGTGATTCGAGGCGAGGCAGTGTCTACAAACACAAGCATATTCACAAAGCGAGCGAGCAACATGCATTTCATTTCAACAGACGAACACATCACACTAAATATCACATCGACTTCATCCGAATATGAAGAAAGTGGAGACGCAGGCAGCCCAATAGATCAGATCAAGAAGGGGAGCAGATGGAGGTAGGTCCACACACACCACTCACTATCTAGTGGAATGAACCTGCCTCCAAAATCAAGTTGGAAGCCTCCAATTCAAACAACCTCATGATAAACGAACACAGTTCAGGCTCAGCACCCACTGAAAACACAAACTAAACTGAACTCAACGACGAAACTACAAACGACATATTCACGTGAATCAGCCATCAGGACAAAATGGGAGACATTGAGCAACATCCGTGAAGAAACCTGTGTGAAACACTGTGAAACACTGGAACTCTTTGAAAGCTATGTAGAAGGCGACCTGCATAACCGAATTGGGAGAGAAGAGGAAAGAAGATAAGGAATGGATCTTCACGGATCTCTATATCGAAGGTGATAGAGGAGAGAGAGGAAGATGGTGAAGCAGAAGATGAACCAGTGCAGTGCAGTGCTAAGTGCAGGCATGAACAAGGAAAAGAGGAAGTGAACACAACCTATACAACACAACACTACACTGGACAAAGAAGTGAAGAAGAGTGCACACAAACACAAAAGACACTCACTTCTATGACACACTGGCAAGTGAAGCAGAACACACAGGCTGCAGGTAAGAGAGACAGAGTGATACAGTATTATTTAACTGATTACGTTTCGAGCATAAATTATTGCTCATAATCATATCAATGTAATCACACTTCAGTTTCGACATCTGATTTTATAGTCCTGTCACCTGATCTCTCTTTGTTTTTTTGTTTTTTGACTGGTAGTAAAGTTTTCCATATCTCTGGTATAGGTGTTGCGTCATTCCTATTCCACATGTGTTGGGTGTGGTGGATTCGATGAAGAAAGATTCAGTAATTAATCTCTCTCTCCACCTAGCTATATTAGACTTAAGTACAGTGGTTTTGTCCCACCCATCCTATTGTGTGGTTGTGTGTTAATGAATGAATGTAATGCAATGGCCGAGTGTTTTTCTACGTTATTGATCTTATTGGGGTCTGCCGTTCTATGTTTAGCTAAATTCCTATGTTCTGTTAATCTAACTGACCCCGACCGGCTAGTTTGACTGACCTATGTATTTGACCTCACAGTTATTACATGGAATTTGGTAGATTATATTATTTTGCTTGATTGGTTCTATCGGATCTTTTAGCCGACAGAGCTTACCTCTGAGTGAGTTTGTTGGTTTAAATGCCACCCTAATTCCAACCTTGTTGAGAATCCTACGTATGCTTTCTGATGTTCCTTCCTTGTATGGTATCACAATAGAGGTGTTGATTTCCTTTCTTCTTATGTTGTCACTATTATTTGTATTTGTATTAGTGTTGTTATTTTGCTTGTTATGTGTCCGTGTGAATTTCTTAATAAAATGATGGGGATAATTATTAACGCTTCTTTTATGTGTTTCAATCCCTTATTTAAGTCCTTACAATGACTAGTGAGTTTCTCAGCTCTATTATTTAGACATTTGACTAAACCCGCTTTAACTGACACTGGATGAGATGACTTGAAGTCTAGATATCTGTTAGAATGTGTTGGTTTTCTGTAGACGGTAGTATCTAAACCACCAGCTATCCTTCGATTATTCTGCAATCCAACATAGGTAGTTCTCATTGTTCATTTTCTACTTCGTAAGTGAATTGGATTGCGTTAACTACTGAGTTTATGTGTGTCAAGAAACTGTCGATATGTTCCGATTTCAACACTGTAAATGTGTCATCTACATATCGCCACCATATCTTAGGTGTCGGATTATATGTTCGTAAAGCCATATCTTCCCAACTATCCATAAATATTTCTGCTACTATAGGGGATATTGGTGATCCCATTGCTACTCCTTCTGTTTGTCTATAAATCTTTTCCTGAAACTTGAAGACTGTCGAGGTTAAGCATAACTGCACTCCTAACATGATTTCATCAACCGATGCCTTGGTTCTCTGAGTAAGTTGTGAGTCAGTATCTAGTTGATTTCTGACTGCCTCCAGTGCCATATTGATTGGTATTTTAGTATAAAGACTTGTTACGTCAAAACTAACCATTTTTTCATCCTCTTCTATGTGCACATAGAAAATGTCTCCCATTTTGTCCTGATGGCTGATTGACGTGAATATGTCGTTTGTAGTTTCGTCTTTGAGTTCAGTTTAGTTTGTGTTTTCAGTGGGTGTTGAACGTGAACTGTGTTCGTTTATCATCAGGTTGTTTGAATTGGAGGCTTCCAACTTGATTTTGGAGGCAGGTTCATTCCACTGGATAGTGAGTGGTGTGTGTGGACCTACCTCCATCTGCTCCCCTTCTTCATCTGATCTATTGGGCTGTCTGCGTCTCCACTTTCTTCATATTGGGATGAAGTCGATGTGATATTTAGTGTGATGTGTTCGTCTGTTGAAATGAAATGCATGTTGCTCGCTCGCTCGCTTTGTGAATATGCTTGTGTTTGTAGACACTGCCTCGCCTCGAATCACCAAATTGTTGAATGCGTAGAAGTCTGGAAAGAGTTCTCCATTCTCATCCATCATTTTAGCGAGTGTTTCTCGACCTATGATGGATGAGTTGTGTTCGTGTGTTGTCGGCTGCGAGTTTGTCATTCATGTCAGTCACTCCACCGATTAGAATGAATTTGATGTTGCCATTTGTGTTGGGGTCTTTTCCAGTATTGATTGCAGTTGTCTATAGAATTCCTCCTTCTCCTTTTCATCTTATTAGGATCTATTTATCTTTGTTTAACTAAGTTTCTGTGCTCTGTTATTCGAATCGGCTCTGGTCGACTTATTTCACTTACGTAATTATTGGAACGCAAGATATTCTTGATGTGTCTTATTTCTTGTCTTAGTTTTTCTGTCTAACAGTCTGTCTGTATCAGTTATTACCTACCAGCATTTATCAATAAATTCATAAGAAATCGAAAGAAAAATATTAGCAGTGGTAGTAGTAATACAGGTGTTATTAATAGTAATTCTACTTGTAATGGTAATAATAGTGACAGGGTTGATAGAGAATTCAAACAAAGTCTCGGCTGTGTTACTATACAAGCGATACCGGTTTTTAGAGATCCGCGTGGTCAGTAGTTGATTGCAATATAGCCTGTTCGAGTTGATGTTACCGTATTGAGAGTGAGATATTAGGAAGGAGGTATGTATATTGATGGTGGATGTAGTAGAAGCTTTTCAGTAATTAAGTAGGTTGTAATCTCTGTGAAACTGTGACAATATCCCCTTGAATCTGACCTGTAGTCAACCAGTACCCATTTGTAGTCAGTCACCCATGGCACTCCTATGGGACTAGACATCCAATCTGTAAACTGAATTCTCCAAATCACTTAACTGATATGAGGTCATTTATTATTATTATTATTATTATTATATATAGTTGATAGTAAAATGCATTCTTGTTTGCATACATACTGAATGAAATGTATAGAGGAAGGGCTGATGAATGGAAATAGTCTTTGTTGGCAGTTATGTCTTGAGATGTTCAACACGAGTCGTAGAGAAGCAGTTAATATGGATAATAAGAGTAGTGTTAAAGTGATGCTTGGCACTGGTGGTGATGGAAAACTGTGGAAAGGCAACTATTTGGCAATTGAATCGGATTTAATCAGATAGGCTAACCAAGCAACACTTTTGACTGTGAAACTGTTGAGTGAGGTGAAGGTAGGTGACAATGCAAGCGCACATAGACTGTGAAAATGAAAGAAAGACGGTTTGTTAGATGACACGTGTAATAAAAGCGTTCCATTTTACATCTTTTCGCTTTCGTTCTCGTCACATCCAGGTGGTGGTAAAATTGAAGCAAGTGGTTACTTTTATTGAATCGTCAGCCGAACCATTGATCCATTCAGCAGCAACCGATCAACTTAAGGAGTTATTTGGCTTCGTGATTTTTAAAGCATCTTCAAGCAAGTGAAGGCGATGAATAAGGAGCTTTCGCGTAGCAAATTGATAGAAAGCGGCGTAAATGGGAGTGAATATTTTAAGTGATCAGCCGGTAAGGTAGAAGTTTCAGATTTCCCCCTTGGTTTAATGTTACTGTGTGGAGAAGAAAAAACACCTTATTGGGCAATTTCGTTCTACAGCTGACCAGTCAAAATAAATATCCTTAATATAGATGTAAAACATGGGCACTGTGGTAGAAATTAATTGCATATTAGATTTGTTTTGGATTTGATTTATAACACACAGTGAGTGATCTAGTATTATTTACTTGATGATGTTTCCAGCATAAATTATCATTGCTCATAATCATATCAATGTAATCCCACAACACTTTCGACATTCGATTTTTATAGTTACGTCACTTTATGTGAGTTGTTTTTTTTATTGGTAGCAAAATTCTCCATATCTCTGGTCTATACCAGGTGATGCGTCATGCCTATTACATGTGTTCAGTGTTGATTCGATGAAGAAAGATTCAGTAATCAATCTCTCTCTCTCAATGTCCACCTAATTATATTGGACTTAAGTACAGTGGCTTTATCCCACCCACCCTATTGTGTGGTTGTGTGTTAATGCAGGTATAGCAATAGCAGAGTATTTTTTCTGGATTATTGATCTTATTTAAGTATGTTATTCTATATTTAGCTGAATTCCTATGTTCGGCTATTCTAACTGACCCCGACCGACCGACCGACCGACTAGTTTGACCCATATACTTGACCTGATTCACAGTCATTACATGCTACTTGATAGATTATACTATTTTGCCTAATTGCTTCTATCGGATTCTAAGTCGACAAAGTTTATCTCTGAGTGATTTTCACTTAGAACTTACTCACAGAACTAAGATGTCCGTTGATGAGATTATATTAGGCATGCAGTTATGCCTGACCTCCACAGTCTTGAAGCTTCATGTGCATGAAGAAATTGTCGATATGTTCCGACTCAGTAGTAAACGCAATCCAATTCACTTACGAGGTAGAGAAAATGAACAGGGAGGGGAATTACCTATGTTGAATTGCAGAATAAAAGGAAGAAGAGACGGTGGTTTGGATACTACTGTCTACAGAAAACCAATAGATTCCAGCAGGTATCTAGACTTGAAATGATCCCATTCAATGTCAGTCATTGAAGGCAGAATTAGTCAAATGTCTAAATGATAGAGCTAGAAAACTGACTAGTCAGTCAGAGGAAGAACCTAAACAAGGAATTGAAGCACTTAGAAAGAAGTAGCGCTAATAGTTAATAATTATCCTCCGTAGTTTATTAAGAAATTCTTACGGACACACAAAAAACAAATAACACTCACATGAGTGCGACTTAACACATGTAATAGGCATGACGCATCACCTGGTATAGACCAGAGATATGGAGAATTTTGCTACCAATAAAAAAAACAACTCACATAAAGTGACGTAACTATAAAAATCGAATGTCGAAAGTGTTGTGGGATTACATTGATATGATTATGAGCAATGATAATTTATGCTGGAAACATCATCAAGTAAATAATACTAGATCACTCACTGTGTGTTATAAATCAAATCCAAAACAAATCGAATATGGAAAATAAATATGCAACCTTTGACCTAGTGGTTTTATGTGTTGATGAAAACTATATACCAATGATGTATTTTTGTCAAATAAAGAGTCTTCTTTAGAGTTACAGTCCGGTCTTTGTCTTCTTATTTTCGCGTGTAAGGAGAGTGTAAGATTGGAAGGGAGAACAGTCGCTACTCGTATCCACTCGAAGCGTCTCATTGTGTCGGTAGCGTTCTCGTGTTTCTTATTATCCTATCAATCTTTTTCATTCAGTTGCTTTACAAAAGTTATTAATAATCTTTGGTAATATCCGTGAAATTTGCTGCTCCGTCTATCGGAGGTTTAGGTAACCAGGCGGTTGCCGATGGCACGAACGTGCACATGAGTTGCTTTGGTTGTCGCGGATGTTTACAATGGGGGATATTTTTAGGTATTGTAAAACTGCTTCTGGTTGTTTTCGAGTTGTTTTCTTCTAAAATGATGAATATTCGCATCCTTTTTCAAATATGACTGTCATTATTATTGTTTTGTTTTTCAGTTGGATGGTGAACTCACTTGGAGTGTTCTAAGACCATCTTCATTATTGATTAAATAAATATCCACTAGGCATATACTCATCAATTTTAATTGCTACGCATGGTTGTTCTTCAACTGTACAACAGCATCTTACAAGTGTAGCTTATTGGATTCACAGGAGATTGATTCATTTCCCTTTAGTCCTTCGTATTGAATGACTGGCCAGATTCATGTCTATCGAAAAAGTGATCCGGTATCATTGTGATTGGTCAATTCGACCAATCATCAATAACTAGAGAGCAATTAATGCTAATGATTCAGTCGTTTAGTCCAACAAATGATTGCAATGATAATAATAGTAATAATAATGAGGATAATAAAGAGGCAGTTGATCGTCTGTTAGTTAGTTTTAGCTATAACTATATCATTGCATGAATCTGTTGATTCACTTCAAGGTTTACAGAATACATTGCATGATGATGATGATGATGATGGTATCTGTTTACTACGACTAACCAATCATATTTCATCTTCAGGATATAATTTTTTACCAAATCCTTATTGGTCAGTGAGTGAATTTACAGCATTCTCTTCAATGGTTTGAAGATTGTTGTAGTGGAGTAAAACATTGGACTCTGCAATTATTGTTGGCAGCAAAAATCATCGAAACTTTCAGAGTAATCATATTATTAGTGATGAGAAGAAGTATTCGACTGCAGCCTCATTATCATCCCTTGTGTGTGTGTCATCATCTTTCGCATTGACTACTGAGGCTGTCTTCTATACAGAGTTGGATGATCTCATCCACCAGTATAGTATATTGATGAGAGTTTCCTGCGTCCATTAGCTGATTTATCTAAAAGTTGGAAACTGCATGATTTAGTTGATCCGGTAAGTTGAATGAATGAATGAATATTTAGAGTAAAATGATTGTTTTTCTCACTATTTTGTTTCAATGGTATCATGATTAAACTTAGATGAAGGGTGAAGTCATGTCTATGAACCAGGCACGTATATATATATATATATATATATATATATATATATATGTAGATATATATATATATAGTAGGAGAGTTTTAATCCGCCATGCATTGTGTTGAAATCCAGTGCTTAGGCCAATGAACACCACTTATTCTGACTATGTGCAGATAGTGCAGTAAGTATTTATATTTACAGGTGGTCCTGATATCTTGATGGTATTCTAGGGTGTATGATTTTCATTAGTTTCTGTCAACTAATCCAATCATATAGATATCTACACATTGAGTCATGTTATTTTCTGCAGTCATTTGATTGGTTGTCGATATTTCCAGTGGTTTTTAGCTTCTTCGTGGATTTAGGAATGGGGTGGGGTGGGGTGGGGTGGGGGGGGTCGGCGGGTAGCTTTAGAACCTGTTAACAATATGTCATGATTGACGTCAGTGTAACGAGCGCATTCACATCTAGCTACTGGTTATTTTTATCATAATTCTTCTCAACCCCCCTGTTTCTTTGTTTTATCGGGTCGTCCAGTCATTTTTACTGTGTCAGTGCCCTACGTTTTTCAGTCATTTATAATGACTGATTACGAGGTGAATGTGGGTTGAAATATTGCTGCATCAGGTGAAGTGGTAAACTGGGTGGTCAGTGAGTTTTCACTCAGTTTTGACAATAGAATTCTAAGAGTCAGGTTTTTTGTAAATGTTATTAGAAGCCTGACTGCTAGAAGTCTACAGTCAGAACTGAGTGAAAATTCACTGACCACCCATTTGGTGTATAGACCAACTATTCACACTGGGCCAGGTCTTGGAACACACACACTTACCGACGCCCGACACTAGCTGTATTTCTCGACCTGAAGGCGTAATTCGACTCCGTTGACCAAGAAGTCTTATGACAATGTCTCTCACTGAAAGGCGTAGCGAGTAAGTAAATCACCTTATTGAAGGCTGTCTACTCGGACACTTGTGTGCGTGTTAGAGCGTATGGTGAGATGTCCGGGTGGCTGTACTTGTCGAGTGGTATCCGTCAAGGGTGCCCACTCTCTCCATTCTTATTCAGTTTTATCATAGATATTCTTATGGAGGTCTCCCTCTCGTCACCTGACTACACAGAAATTGACCTGATCGTCACAGGAGAATTTTCGTTAGACCTAGAATACGCAGATGACATGGTCGTGTTAAATGAAGATGTGCGATGATGCAGACTAGCCGGCTGAGGTCTGCGAGACAAGAGAAACCAGTGTTTGGAGACTGACTGTAGGTGGCGATATGGCTCAGAATCGATGTCACTGGCGTATATGTATACCCACATTATCCTCATCTTAACGATGCTATGCCGAATCTCACCATTTTCTCATTCCTCCTTTCTCTCCTTGAGTACTTGATATATCTTTTGACTGAGTTTTCTTTTCTCCATTTTCCACTTCACTACTTTTTTACTTGATGTACTGATATGAGGTGTGGCAACTCGGAGCATTAAGTTGTAATAGGTTAACAGAAAGAAGACTTCAGGCGCTTTGACCAAGACGTGATATCACACCATGAAGCCTCTGATTGTTAGTCTGAGCCATGTAGGGAGGTGTAGACTACCTGTTTGGCGTCCCTGAAACCGTAGGAATAACCACTTTGAAACATATGCTAACATTACTAAAAATCGATGACAGTGGCATACATTTATTTATTCTCTGACGTCTTCTAAAGCTTGAACATTTTCACTACCTGTGATTTTTCAAATTCCTTCTCCTCCCTTACACTTTTGCTTATTCTGATATCTCAGTGTTTTTTGTACCAACTTATTATTGTTTTCGTGTTACTAAAATGTGTGACAACTTGAACCGATGCACTTTTATGCTGAGTTCTACGTTGATTTTGTCTCTCTGTCTATCTTATCTGTATAATCGAATTGATAGTCCTAAAAATCTATAAGGTCAACTGTAGAAGTAATCGGTTTCTGTTTCCATAAAATTTACACCTAATCGATAGAAAGAAAGGGGTGAATCAACACTTATTTCGAAGATATTAGACTACCCTTGACTACCCTTAAAAAGTCGAAGCATGAAAAGTATTATGGCTTTAAGTACCAAAATGTTGAAGGTTTCATAAATACCTTAACATGAAGATTGGGGGAAAATAAACTACGCTTCAAATGTCATGCAATAAACATTGATGTATGTATGACTCTGAACGTTTTCTATATGTGTAGGTGTGAAACACTAAAAGTTGAGAATATTAGAAAACTTCGGGTATTTGACCACAGGTTGCCTTCATAGCAAGGTGTCGTGGTGTAACCACGTGAGGAATAATATTCTCTTGAGAAGACGACTGTAAGCAGGGAAGCAAAGGCTAACTGGAGGCAGGTTTAAACTGCCTGTTCCATTCACCTTTCTAGTGTTTCGTGCATATGGACTACAGATCTATGCTTCATCACCATAGTGTCATCAAGCATAAACGATTTACTTTGATTTCCCTTAATCAGTGCGAATAATTGTTGTTTACAGGTAACTATCACCAAGACCATTCTCATCGTTTTAGCCTTCATGGTCTGGTCATAGAACAAACTGTTGATTTCATTTTAATTGTGTCTGCCCTTCATTGTGATCAGGGCCTATTGGCATGCGTTCGCGTGCATCCATTGTTTTGGAATAAGATTGATTGAGATTGACTAACCCTTTCTAATGCTTTTCTCAGGGTTAGTTACCACCTTCATCTCCGTTTTTACAGCCAACTGGAGTTGAAGACAGGTTTCTTCAGAATGAGTGACTTTGTCTTGTTTCGATTAGCGTCTAACCTGTTGCTGAATAAAAGCATGCTTAGTACTCTCATCATCAAGCTGTTTTGGAACTGGGTTTTCTACATGCATTTAGGTGCAGGAACTGACCTGCTCTAACCAACACATGTTCACTGTGTAAACCAGTGCTGTAGAAGGGGTGACAATCAATCCTGTGCCAATTCTGTTCAGTGATAATTAATAGACAGACAATTCCTGCCTGCCTCTATGTCTGAAGTCCATGCTGATGCAAAATAGGTGATTGATTGTCTGAGTATATTTATAGCAGGCAATTACCGTTATGTGTTTTTCTTCTGTTGAGACTCTGAAATTGTCACCTGGGTGCCTTTCTGCTTGACTTATTAGTCTACTAACTTCGGCATTGAAATCATTTACTGCAACAACCACATCTGAATGTTTGTTGCTTTCAATAGGAGACTCAACAGTTTTGAGTAAAACTCATTTTTCGTCACATTCGAACTGTAGTCACAGTGTGTAAGTTGGAAATACAAGGAGACGGGAAGTTTCGCTGCTCTTTTAACTTCTCACTGCATCGTCGAGTGGAACAGAGAACAGGCAAGTGTTCTAGTCGTCAAGTAGTGCATTTTCAGCTGTAGGACTTAGTGCTTTACCTGCGAGACGACGAGAAGAAGCCGTCAAATGTGCAGATTGTAAAACGGTGACTTTTCACATTTGGCATGTTGGTTAAATTAAGTTAAATGGATATGGGTGTTACATAAAGAAAGCAGTCATTCATGACCCGATTTTGTAGAGTTTTGACTATTGAAGCTTGTCGTTCAATTCGACTGAGAGTGTAGACATTGAAAGCTATAGTATGTTGTTCACAGTGGTGTTCCAAGGTACCAGGGATTATATTCTATTCCTTCAACTCAAATCGTCATTGAAGGTTGAAAATTTGAAGAAAATTAGCTACGACTATATAATATGGATAGAGAAATAAATATAAAGGAAAGTGAGTAGACAAAGATATGAAAGATTGATGATGATTTGAGAGAGCTTGCGTGATAACATTGTTATGGGGTTTACTTCATGTTAAGTAACAAATGAAATCGGTGGCTCGAAATTCTATGAAATATGGCATAGATTCAGTTTCATTGGTTATATACTACTTGCATTCTCATCGTTCTATCGAATTTTCATCTTTGTCTTACTCTCTTGTCGCCTCTTACAATTTTTGATCATATTCCCCTTCTTCTAATTTTTCTATCTTACATTGTGTTGCCTTTTATTTTGGTATACGTTGTTCAAATATGGTAGGTAACTTGTTCCGATATGTTGTATTGTCTGGTTCAATTTATATATTCGACC